AACTGTCTTCAACTTTATATTGACTGTACAATCGATTTGGTTCTTTATGCTAATAGAGTCCTCATACGCATTCCTTGCCTGCAACCCTTCATATATACAATATACATTTAAGCTGAGGAATAGCAAGTAACAGCCTTGTAAGTTTATTACTCGATTTTATGGCAAAGAACTTGGCAGATTTGCAAAGCATAATTTTTTAAACTAATTTCGCTCTTCTTCTTCTTCTCGAAAATAATGTGCTATCTCATAATTGCACTAACCTTAATTTCATGAAGGCAAAACAAAACTGTCTGTTCCCTGAACATATATAATTCAAAAGTTTCCAATTTTTATTAACGTTCTTTGATAGTTTAACACGCAACAACAATGAGTTTTTTTTCCGCGGCGTTTAATAGCGTAGGAAATTCCTTGGATATCAACAAACCGTGGATTTGGTCCTCATTCCGCCTTTTTGTCCCCAGTGTACTGATCTAAAGGGAACTCTTTTCTAGTAAACAGCAATTTGCACCTCAAGTCAACCCAATGAACAAAATAAACAACCACAAATGTGTGGTAAATCACCCACTCAAATTTTGCTCTCCGAATTTCATCAGAAATGCAATCTACTATATGTCAATACTGGGGAAATTTACTGCTTAGTTAACTCGTCGCCCTTTTTCCCAGAGGAACCTCCTTCCCTTACTAATTCATTTTTATTTGTTGAAAAAATGTTCAAAAAATAACTTGTAATCTTGTTGCAGGAGCTCTCTCGATTATTTATCATCAGGCCTTTTCAGCAATAGAGTAATAAACGTTTGCCTATCCAGTAAACAGTAAGTTTTAGGGAAGAGCGTTGAGAGCATTCAGAATTGAGGGGTTATAGTCTAACTCCATCAGGGCCTGAGGTAGGGGGGGAGGGAGAAGGAGGCGGCCGTTAGTACAAAATTGATTGACTGTTGAACATTAGAATGCCAAGCTGGTCAATACCTGCCAACATCATGTCTAAATCAGGCGATCTTTTCTAGCAGCATGACATTTTTGTCTGTTACTTCGAGGAAAAAGAGTTGAAACAAAATGCGTGCAACTTAGAAATAGCCTATTCCAAATGGGTTTTGACCTATTTGGTTTCAGTGATTTTTATGGAGTGCCAATAGAGTGCAATGTATGCGTAAACTCGAAGTCGTTTTCTATGCTCGTCAGTTCGCCTGTCAAGAAGGATGATGCCTACTGTGGGGTGTGTGTGTGTGTGTCGTAGCCCATAGTTGGATCAGGAATCCCCGCCGGAATCTAAACTGGGAGTAGTTGGAAGAAGGAGAAAAGCCGAGGCCTCGACCGCCTTGAGCCAAAGGTCCGCGTGAGTGAGGTGGGTGCCTGGCCGGGAACTGCAGGCGATCAGATGCTGACATTCATGCGGAGAAGCGTCGCAGTCGGGACAACAGTCGGGTGTGGACGGGTCAAGCCGATTTTGATGCTG